GTCTATTCTAATTTAATTTCCTCCTCGTCTCCCTATTTTTTTTCCAAATCTCCCTCTACATCAGGGAGTCGTATACATAATACGACGAATATTGGTACGGTACGGGACAGATACAGGAGCCCGCAAATATTGTGGACAGCTGTTATGTACAATTCTGTAGAGCCTTTGTAGTCACAGATACGGGACAGATACGGGACAGATACGGGACAGATACGGGATAGCGCCAGGCGTGACACACACAAACAAACAAACAAACACACAAACAAACAAATACCAAATTAAAGCTGTGTGGACCCTGGCTAGCGCCAGACGTTACTGAAGTAACGTCTTCTGCATAGCTACGGGAATAATAAATTCTACTACTACTACTACTACTACTAGATCGGGACACAATTTTCAGAGAATTTGCAGCTATTCATGCTCTTTCAACTGACGTAGCACTCAATATGAATTATTTACAAATTCGATTTTTCAGCGAATTTTTGGGTAGTCTGTGTACGGGCAGGGGTGGTCGCTACACGAGCATACAGAGTTGTGCAACAGCAGGGATATCTGGGATTTGAAGAGAGTACGAGAAGGGATTTCGCGAAGCTGGGTGGGCAAGCAATTAAAGTAATGAAGGGCCGTGTACAGGGGAGAATGGACACAGCGATCAGTCCGCGGAGTTGGCAAATGCCAAGGTTGTTAGTATGGTTGTAGAAAGGTCACTGTTTCCAAACACAGTGACCTCCACCTTGTTACATGCTGTCAATCTAACAACATGTATACAGTCATGTACATGATAGGCCTTGGCGGATAATGCCGGCAGAAAAATTGGCAGAATTCGGTACTTTTTCTGGTAAGTTTCATGCATGTTTGGTATGTGGATAAAGAAATGGAGCAGAATTCGAGGAATTGCCCGCCATAAGGTTTGTATGGTTCTGCCAATTTCGGTGCAAAAAAAGCAGAATCTGCCACCTTTTCGAGCATTATCCGCCAAGGCCTAATACATGACGTACTGTACAGTACATGTAGGAATTTTGAGATTCCTCGACCACTTCTTTTCTTGACATGCCTAGCGCTACCGACTACAGAGACACAGAGAACGTTTGGGAAATCATCTGGCTGCCGACCCTTTCAAGAGGATTGAAGTGCGGTCGGCAAGTGCCAAAACAGTGGAGATGATACATGTATTAGAACTCGTCAGTACACGAGCTTTCTGTTGGTGAGTGATCACGGTGGCCCTGGTTATGGAGACGACAATTATTATTGAAGCCGGCATAAGGGTCTTGTTATAATTATGCAAAGGAAATGTGAAGAATTATTGCTCGAGGAATACGGTGGGTTACTTTGTAACTTTTTTGATTAAATTAAAGGGAAGTCGACTGAGACTGAGAGCGCATGGAGGAGAAGAGGAGAAGAGAGATTGTTGCATTATTGAACAGCCGAATGGTACCGTTCACAACTTTATAGTATTGATACTGTGTATCCTCTACTGTGCGGTCATTGCATAATAATTATTATTATTATGCAATGACCGCACAGCAGAGCTTTTCGGACAGTGGAGCAATCGACTATTGAATAACTACATAATTGTAATCGCTTGCGGCCATGTACATGTACATGTACATGTAATTGCTTACCCAGTACCCACATGGCCCACTGGCCAGGCCTTTCTCGTTTGCACAGTGGTTTGCTAATAACAATGTTACAGGTTTTTTTTACGGGGTAACGGCCTCTTTTACGGGCAAAATAAAGTCATGTAGACGTGACCAATTGAGATACCATGAAAGGTAAAATAGAATTTTATTCAAGTACAGTACATTGGGAAACTCCAAGAAATTCCACGTAAAACAGACAGACTTCAGTTTTCAATGGCCGATGCCTACCCCAGCACCATCCTGCGTCGACAGGCCTGTCAGGCGCCTTCTAGACCCGCGTAGCCGGAGGTCGACTGCATGGATCACTGCAAATTGGCTGCGAACTCAGTACAGTAGCTACATGTACATGATTGTACAATAATGTACATGTACAGTCACGTGTGTTTTTATTTACTTGAAGTATTTCTTTTATTTATTTTAAATGGCTTTTTCTTTACCTCGAATGATTTACAATCTGTATCACAATTATTTGTGGGTTCAGCAATAAAGCATGTACTAGCTCTGTACATGTACATGTATGATGTACATGTATGTCATAGTATCTGTAGTGTACAGTCATGTACAAGTACAGTGCGAACACTTCGCGCATTCGCGTGCCGGCAGATCGATACAATTAATTGTTTATTCAATACTAATACATGTAGTCTACAAGTAAGGTCACTGTTTCCGAACACAGTGTCCTCCACCTTGTTTCATGCTGTCAATCTAACAATTGCATGTACATGTACGTGTAAATGCGTTCACCGGTCGGCAGGTGAAGAACCATTAGATTTTTGAACACAATGCATGTCATGGTCTTGCCACTAGTAGTAGTACCGGTATTATTGCTATAGACCGTCGGTAGAGTGCATGAAGCCTCACTTGTCATGTACCATGTGTACAGTCATGTACTACTTGTCGGTCAGCCTTCCACACTAACTACAGTGCAGTCAGTACTCTTGAACACCATAGGCATAGGGCCCAGCCCGAGTTGTCATTCTTTTTTATTCTTTTTTTTCCTGCAAAATCCACATATCTCCAGACACTGGGCAGTGTCCGCCGACCAGAGGTCTCGGCTTCACCCACATAGTCATTATTACATGCACGCATGATGACAACCATCGGTCTCGACTATACAAGTATGTTGTCAGAACCAGGGAATCCTAAACAACTACATGTACATGTACATGTAGCTTCGTATAGACCACATACACGGCACCATCGATCTGCCTGAATACGGAGCCAACGTCAGTATCACCCTGCTTGCTAGCCTAGCGACTAGTGTCTGCTGATCGGCGGAGGCGGGGCTTGGGCACGGGTGACGGCTGGCGTCGAAATGACTCCGCAGATTGAGACTGCCGCTTCGCCTGGCACTACAGTCTGTCCGAGTGCACTGCCAATACTAGTCAATACTACAATAGCCATGGCACGGCCACCAGTGCACGCTGTGGTACATGGTGCCGCACGGCGCACGTGCAATACATGTACAGTCATCCCTCTCTAATCCAGCACTTTATAATCCAGCACCCTCGATAAACCAGCACAATTTTCATTAGCCAAAATGTCCTCTTCATGCACGTTCTAGCAGAAAATCAGATTTGTTAATCCAGCACCCTCCCTAATCCAGCAGATTTGCCTTGGCACAAATAGTGCCGGATTATAGAAGGACCACTGTACCTGTACATAATGATTGTATAATAATTTTTTACATCTGATCACGAAAGTAACTAATTCACGTGTGTACATTGTACATGGGAACGTTTCGGGCAGCGGCACAATGAATGTTGAATCCCAACAACACTCTTCAGTATACCGCCATTCACTTGTGGATCGTTATCGGTTCTGAATGGCGAATACAGTAATGAACCAGGATAGCCCGGGCCATGGCCATGGCTTGAGCGCCTCGGCCTCGGGGCCACAGCGCCAAACCACTGAATACCTGTACGATCATGCGACATGTCTACTGGCAACACTCACCCAGGCGCTAGGCAGTAGTGTGGGCTGCACGTAGATATCTACCGGGTTACCCCCATGAGACGTCCACATGGTCCAAGACAAGGACCATTCATTGGAAACTGTCACCATTCGCAGAAATCGCAAGCCCAGACGCGAAAATCCATGCGAAGTTTCGCTCTTTTTTCGATTGGACGAGCTAGCGAGGTCAGTACTTCTACTTCTACACGTGGGATTATAACGGATGAATTATAGATGAAGTGGTGGGAATCGGTGTCACCCACTTGAGCGGCTGGCAAATAGGCTTCGCCCCATAGCCTGTTCCGGGGAAATTGAGGGCAGTTGGGGCACAGCCATGGCGTGGTTTGCAATTATTATTATTTTGAGTAACTAACTTCGGGCACAACCATGCCATCATGGCCTGGGTCAACAGGATTCCCTGGCTGCGCAGTTACACGTACATGTAGTATTGTACAATGTACAGTAGCAGGTTCGGGCACAGTCCTCCTAGCCTAATCCAGAGGTCAGGACTAAGAGTGTAGTAAGACTATAACAAGAGGCAACGGACAGGCACACCTTACAAGTATGGACTATTGCTGTATTGGCATGCACATGTACAATCATGTACATTGTACTGTACATGTACTTCAGTTCGGACAGAACCTGGCGAAACGATTGCATTGCGGGGCCCTCTCTTACCGGTCGTTGATAGCCAGAACTCTGCACATCTGGAGAAACTTACCATGGATCAAGTGCCACTTGAATCACTCCAGCGATGAAGTGTTTACCCAGTCCACATTTTGGTGCTCATGTGTATTCTGTCAGCTGCACTATCAATCAGGCATCACCTTGCATTATCTCTCAGCCATGAATACCCAGTGTCCACACCACTATCCCTATCAAAATGTACATGACTTGTATGTGATTCGGAGTTACGGATATTCCAAAGATTTTAGAAAAGTAATGGTGGACAGTGATCAGTCCCCGGACTGCTCGGATAAACGAGGTTGCTCGGATAAAGGAGGTCAGAGTGTACGTACATGACACACAAGTACAAGTAGCTAGGTTTGCCCGGGAAGATGTACTGGTCAGACATCCGGCACGTCCATTGCTTGTGGAGTTTCCAGCAGTGCACTGACTGCAGCTTATACACTGTATATTTACATGACTGTACAGTCCTACAATGTGCTTCCAGTATTAATTAGGGCTCAAACGGTCACGGTTTTACCCCTGACGGTTAACTGCTAAGCTAACGGTCGGTTTAACGGTTATAACCTATAAGACACGGCAATCCGGCGGACTCTTTTTTAACCGTATATTTGACTATACTCATTCAAAGAATGTACCCTATTCAGTACAACGCACACATGTATATTCTCTTGCATGCTCATTCATACATACTCTCACACCAAGAGACCAGATATGACCGAGTTGACAGCCCAGAAATTGCTTACGCGTGCGACAGCCTACGAAAGTGCATACCTTGCAACGACCTGATACTTGAAAAATTGACTGAAAAGCTACTGCATAACCGTTATCTTTATCGGTTAACCGTCAATTATTCGTAACCGGTTAATCGGACTAATCGTTTGAGCCCTAATAATACATGTAATGTAAAGTGAGGGCTGTGAACATCATGAATGGTTCCTGTAATGCTCAATACACGACAGTCTATCCTATGTAGACGAGCACGACGGCTGTCTCAGGATGCACTGTAGAGTGTAGTTCTAGTAATAGAGCATCAAATGATACAGGTAGCAATCCTTCACCTCTACAGTCTTTTTGATGTGCGAATAGAAGATTGCTATGCAATTACTTTAGTTATTCAGAATAGTCATATTATTCAACAGCGTCCGATCCCGAGAGGGCTGGATAGCTGACACGCAACCGTACTAATCGCAACGTCTTCTGCATAACTACGTCTACAGGGACTAATACTCTATCATGTGACGTCATCTTGTAATACTGTTCAAAGCGGCTAGTCTTCTGCAGTCGACTATGATAACAGTGTGGGTACCTCCAGCTCATTGATCTCATCCAATAGCTCGTCTATCTGTGACGTTGTGCTTGAGAGGGCTGTAGAAAACACACAACCCAAACAAGACAATCAGAATGGGGAATCGCAGAGGACATACGGCAGACAAACCGGGACGTGGCGTGGCAGATACTCTATTAATGCCACAGCGAACAGAGCCAACCGCAGCCACTCACCTCCACTTTAGACCAATGAACTCATATTCATAAGATTTCACATGATTTATTTGCCACCAGTACTAGATCTACACATACAGCCAGACCTCGCTTATCCCGTCCTCTTTTATCCGGATCCCTCGCCATCCGGAAGAAAACCGTTGGTTACCGATTTACAGCATGTGCCATGCATACATACCGCATGTGTGTTCGATTATCCGGTTCCTTCGCCTATCCGGATATTTTGTGGAGAACGGGTGTGTGCGGTTACGCGAGGTCTGGCTGTACATACATGTACACATACGTGTACCTGCACATGTATGTGTACCAAGAAGGAGCCACGTTTGTATTTTGTATTTTGTATTTATGTCATTATCTCATGGCACATCATGATGACGGCCAATAAAACTGAGACAAGGGTGAAAGCCAACCACAGCAGTAAAACAGATAAAAGAATACAAATAAGAGGCAAAGAAGGCAAAGGAGGAGACAAACCAGCAGGATATACATGAAACCTATAATTGAGCAGAGATTTTAGCAGCAAAATTATCCATCGACGTGCTGGTCTTGGCCTGCGTTGGTAATGTTGCCCAAAACACATAGCCAGCAAAGATCGGGTGGGTGGGTGTATGTGATACCCGGTAGCCTTTTCGGTGGGAACTGTGCCGGAAAGACAGGGCTGCTGGCAGTGGGTTCGAATCCCGCTCGTACATCGTTCTTTTGTAACCTACGTTTGGGCAGTGGCATGGTTGTTATGGCGATGAGGTTGAATAGCGTGTATCAAAATAGTTTTGAACACGCAACGTGACGCGTCCATCTCATCCAAAAAATATTCTTTTACACACGGTTTGCATCTAAGTCCCTCTTTTCTCTCATGCATGTAAATGCTAGTGAATGCTAGTCTTGGTCATGCTGTTTTATGAGCGTTTCACACGAAACTCTGAGTAACGGCGGAAAAGAACTTGGTTGTTTCATTGCCGTGTGATCATTGTATTACTGGCTCTGTCCACTGCACATAGAGCAGTATGTGCAGACTGAAGACCTCAGACAACTGTAAATACAAGCCTCAGTAGAAACACTGAAATAGCTTCTGCTCGGATTCAGTTTGAATGTGCCACTTGGCATGAATGCGCTAATGGTCCTGATGCTGACCTTCAAGCAAACTACTTCCTCAAACGTGGCACGTGTCGTACTTTGCACCTAAACTCTTCACTTGCGTTGCAGCCCCGTCGAGATTTGATTCACTGCGGACCAGCACTGAACTCAGCTGTTTGATTTCGTGCCGCAGTTCCGCGGTCATCGGTCGTAGGCAAGTGATTAGGATTCAAATGTTTCTTCCTGTGCGTCATACTCATAGCGATGAACCGGGAAAAGGTGGACCAGCCGGGTGAGTACAGGAAGAAGAATGACCCCCCCCCCCCCCACACACACACGCCAGAGACTCATACAGTCTTGCGTGGACCATGCCGCAAGCACAGCTGCATACAGCTGGGATACATCTGCCTGCCTGCGCCGGCTAGTTTTAGATCAACAATAAGCGGATGTGCAGTTGGAGTGCGTGTGTTACCAGCTGTCAGGACATCTGTTCAGAATCTTCACCAGCTACATATATTATGTACATGTATTTATGCCAAGGGGAGGATGTACAGTAAGCACACCCACTGGAGTACATAACAGTCCAGCCGCCATACTGTCATCTTAAACATGCCTCAGTCCCGCATGTACATGTCACATGCATGCCTGTTTTGAGTGCAAGCCAAATTTTTCTAGATTCGCATTTATTTATGCCTGGTTTAGGTGCTGGCATGCATTGAAGTATCTGGTTTGAATGCAAGTCAGATTTGAGTGCACGCATGGCACTGAGGCATCAGTCTCTACAGGAATGAGCCAGGCCGTTAAACATGTACGCAACATCAGGGTACCGAAATACTGGGCACAGTGTGCTGAGTAATTTATGACATACATCTACTAGGCTAGTTGCCCAGTAACTCTAAATTTACAAAAACTGAAAGGGCCCACCAGCTCAAAGACCTTCTAAACCTTCGAATTTCGCAAAATGAAAGGGCAAGCCAGTCCAAAGTGCCAAACTCTGGAGTGTGTGTGGAATTACGAAGGAGTAAATTTTGGCAAATTTCCAAAAGTGTGCGTGGAGTGTGTGGAATTGTGTATGACAGGGACTCACCGGAAGCTCCCGAATTTCTCCCGGTACCGTTACTGGTGTGTGCAGGCGTCGCAGATGAGTGAATGCCGTCTATCAGCGGAGCGACATACGGTGGTGGACATCGCAATGGAGCTGCGGCTCCCCCTGCCACCGCTGCCGCTGCTGCTCCAGAAGATGTGCTGCGGGTAGCGTAAGACTGCATTGCGGGCAACGCCGAGGTCGTTGGTCTGCCATTGGCCATGCCGCTGTCGGCGGCTGTGCGTTGTCCTGTGTTGCTGCTGGCCCCACTGCTGCGGTGTGCGTGTGCGGCGCTGGGTATGTCGTCAATGTGGTGGTACTGTGTACCGGCGTCTCGGGGCGATAGGCTTGGTGACCAGTGGATAGACGATCTTCCTTGCTGCCTTTGGACGGACAGATAACGGGAGGAGGCGAGATAGATGGACAGATAGACGAACAGACAGATGGATGGATGGACAGACAGACACAGACACAGACAGACAGGCAGACAGACAGACAGACAGACAGACAGACAGACAAATGGACAGACAAACAGAGAAGGACAGAAAATCAAGATAATAAACCAAGACATGCAAACAGTACAAGTATGTCAAAAGAGACCATTATACACCCCACTGTGTCTGACAAAAGAAGTGGCGTACGCTTTGCCCATTTTTCACGCAGTCATTCCCACACAGAGTGCTTCAACACTGCCTATCGTGGAAAATTATGACCAGCCATTTTCTACAACAAATGACCTGCCAGAGGAATCGCTAAAAAGCATGACTGGCAGACGGGGTGTGAGGGGTGTGAGGGGTGTTGGGAACTGTGGAGCAATGTATATAGGTTATGTGATAACAGCATCAGTTGAGATGATTCGGCAAAGTCGTGGCACAGCACGTGCTAGTAGCGATACACTAGCGACTAGCTATGCATGTGCATAGCGCTCATAATCAGTTTCACTGTATGCTTTAGGCACCCAAGATGGCAGAGGTTGTATCTGTTCACGGGGAGACAGATGAATCCCGGGACATACCACCCTGGGGCCCAATACTTACAACTCCGAGGAGAGGGCAACTTTGTCTAACTGGTGTTGTTGTATATTTTAGAGCAAAGAGGAGGAAATGTTTCATGCACATGCGTATAACTAGTGAGAGAGCTGACGTCATGCAGCGAGGTCGCTACAATACTTAAAGCCCACAAGCGGTTCCAGAATCCTGCGGACTCATCATTATGACTTCGTTCGCATCACCTCTGTACATGTACCAGGGGTGTCGGACACGGTACGGTCACTACGGTATTGACTGTACCACTTTTTGCCCCGAGTACCCCGTGAATCAATAAAATACACTGATTTGGGCTCCAAATTTCCAAAATTTTCGGCTCAGCAACCCCTCCCCCACGAGTAAATTGTACTTCAGATGGCTGACCGTGCCACACTAAAATACCTTCCGACGCCTCTGTGTATACTATGCTGTCTGCACTATGTATTATATTCTATTACTTACTGAAATGCATCCCTTGGTGTTGTCATCACTCGTGAGCCGGTAACACCCGCACTGCTAGATGGCATGTCGACATGGCGAGTATCTGCCTCGCTGGATCTGACGGAACCTCTGCCGCTTGCCTGACTGGTGCTGAGGGTGTCGGCGGAGGAGGGTTGCCGTGGATACCATGGCTGCCGCAATACACCGTCTGTGGCGTCGAGAGAGCTGTCGCCGAAGAGGGCTGGGTTAGAGAACTGGACAACACCGCTTCCATGAACTGAATGTAGAAACACCGGACATGAACAGATACAAATACTGTGTCAATATGATGATGTCATGAAGTGGATAGAAAATTTGAAATGTTGGTTTCTATAGCTTGTAGTATAGATGACATCCACGCCTGCTCACCAATGCACAAGGAAACTGCATGCTGATCACACAGTAAGCATACACACATACACGTACACATACGCAAACACTCACACACACACATACAACTACACACAAACACACCACACGCATGCACACGCACGGGCAAGCACGCACACACACCATGCCACAGTTTGCAACCTCACCAGCTGCTTGACTGCCACTGTAGTGACGAGAGGACTTCACCGGCGCTTCGATGACCTCATCAGTGACATCATCATACATTCGCTCATGCGTCACGTGACTGGCTGAGGTCATGTGGCGCAGTCTCACCGTGGCAGCATGGATACTCTTGTGACGTGAACCTGGTGATGCAGACCGCTGGCGACTGTCTGTAGCTGTGATGGCATAGCTAACGAAAGAAGGAACACCAAAAAAAATGAACGCAAAGACTTGAAAAGATAAGGGTTTATAGCCTGGACTTGGATGGAGAGCCAAGGATTAATTTACACAAAAGAGAAAGGACCAAGGAACTACAAGTTACGCTATACTGTCCACTAACACCACCGGTCAGTGTCGTGCAATGTTATCGCATGAACTGATTGTTTAGTAACTGGCGGTGTTAGTGGACAGTATAGCGCAACTTGTGGTTCCTTTGTCCTTTCTCTTTTGTATAAGGTTTATAGACTGTATTGCATGAAAATAAGAACGATCTAGGCTAGGAGGCTGATCTCCCAGTTCCCCGGTGACCGACACTACTCTACAATACAAACAACAAATACATACACACTGTTACACACACTTGAAAGGAGTCAAAAGCGTTTCCGCTGTAGCTGCGAGTTTCACGGTTTTAACTGATCATCAGACAGCAAATACATATTCTCTTTGAAGCATGGCTTGACCAGAATAGAGCCCCTATTACAGTCTTGTGAACCCTCCCTCCTCTACTATCATCAACTAAGGACACAATGGTGAAGAAGAGCATACCGTTGTGAAGGAGATGAGTTGCCGAATATGTAGACCAGCAACATCACAAAGCAGAAAACGGCGCTGACAGCAATGGCCGCCGCGAATGCTCCCCTGTGATCACGACGACTGGTATCATAGGCAAGTGGCTGATACAGGGCATCGGCGGTGGGCACTGCTTGAAGACCGGCAATGGTTCTTGACGGGGGAGTCGTAGCGACCTGGTGATAACGTTGGTTCAGGATTTATAATTGCACACGCATGTACGCACATGCACACGTACACACACCACACACGCAAGCATTCACATACGCACACACATTCAGCAACTTCCAAGGATGACCAATTGTCCACCATTATTCTCCGAAGGGTAAACCATCATTGGCACTGCCAGGGTTTTCACCAAGTAGTTCTTGGTTACACTTGATACAAAACTTAGATCTGCCCCCCTCCCCCTCCCTCTCTCTCCTGCCGTGCACACACTCACATAATTATTATGTACGCACACATCCCCTCCCCCTCCTCCACGCCACACACGCACATGTGCACACACATATACACATATGCACACACATATACACATATGCACACACACACACACACACACACACACACACACACACACACACACACACACACACACACACACACACACACACACACACACACACAGACACACACACACACACACACACACACACACACACACACACACACACACACACACACACACACACCTGGTCCTGGTAAACACTGCCATTACGGTCACGTGTCCCCTTACGGGGCCGACAATATAGAACGACGAGCGGGACCTTGTTCGAGAGAGCCATCTCCAGCAGCTATGGATCTGGCTTATCATCGGAAACGATTCCTCTCACGGCTGCCGCTAGAAGTGGTCCATCACTCTCCACAACAGAGCGAACATTCCATGAGCCAACGCTCAGAGTCGTTTCAAGTCGTCGTCTTCGTGCGGTAGTTTGCTCCACTCGCGGGCTTGCAAAGCCTCGCGAAGGACTCCGAGGTGGGGGCGATGAGGAGAGTGTCGGCATCGTAACTATCCGACCAAGTCTCCTTTCGGTGAATACCTCACCTCAGGCACTGTTGGCCTGGACGGCTGGGGACACCCCAGGCCGTCCACAACGGCGAGAACAAGCACGGACGGAGGCCAGAAACAAGAGCCCGGAAAAGTACAACCGTCCTCCACCAGAGCAGAGAACACACACATTGTCAAGATGTTCAACTATTTGAAAGATTTTCTTATCGTCGGAAACGATTCCTCTCACGGCGGCCGCTCGAACAGGTCCATCACTCTCCACAACAGAGCAAAAATTCCATGAGCCAATGCTCAGAGTCGTTCCAAGTTGTCGTCTTCGTGCGGTAGTTTGCTCCACTCGCGGGCTTGCAAGGCCTCGCGAAGGACTCTGAGGTGGGGGCGACGAGGAGAGTGTCGGCATCGTAACTATCCGACCAAGTCTCCTGTCGGTGAATACCCCACCTCAGGCACTGTTGGCCTGGACGGCTGGGGACACCCCAGGCCGTCCACAGTGGCACACACACACACACACACACACACACACACACACACATACACACTTGTACTTGTTGCTCACGGCCAAAACTGGTCTCGTGGGTCTCCCTGGGAGAGGGGAGAGAGACTCAAAAGGAATCTTAGAAAGATGACTCAATTGTTGGTTATCAGTGAACCGCCCAACGGCCGACACCCCCTGAAAACCCCAAAACTCTGCGTGGACTTGAAAATGATCCCACTTATGGGCTCACCACACCTCAGTAAGTTGGTGAGGACAAGGTGCAGAAAAAGGATTGACGGCATCAGGGTATCCGTCCTGGGATCCAACTGCAGTTACCCCTGCCCCCAGTGAAGGTAATACTTGGTACTACTACTAGTGTGGACACACACACAGACACACACACACACACACACACACACACACACACATGTCCACGTACAGATACGCATATGCACACAGATTCGACTTCCGCCTCAGCGGGAAACACCTCACCTGTTGCACAAAGCAGTAATCGGTAGCCACAGCTGCAGAGACAATGCTCCGGATTGTGCCGGTGGTGCACAACTTCTGCTGTAGAGCATTGTTGACTTGGATGACTTCATTGGCATTGCCAGACAGAGCGACTGTCATCAACAACCTGATTGGAACACACCAGTGCACACGAGTAGGTGAGAAACGGTAGCAACAGGTGTGCCGATACAAGCCCAGTTTGGTGAGTCTCCGATGGGTGCATCAATTTATACTACTACCCTTGTCCACAGGCTGAGTAATGCTACAATCTTCTTCCAAACGAATGTGTTCTCAAGCTAAGGATAGTAATACAGGTAGACTCCCTCTAATTCGAATACGGTATAATTCGAACATTCCGTGTAATTCGAACTTTTTCGTCGTACCGATCGTCTGCAAGTCACTTCAAGTCAAAATCGAATGCATAATTCGAAGTACGAAAAGTGCGCCGGTTGGATAATTCGAACCCAGTCTTCGTACAGAAGAGCTGTTTACAGTACATTGGCTATGTCCTTTGAACGCTTATTTCGAAGTGAGATTGAGTTGCTATCCTTGTAATTCGTAGTTTATTCTTTTCTCCTTCTCTAAGGCCATCATTTTTTATATCTATGTTTCGCGTCGTCCGCACGCATACATTTTGATTTTTTTCGGAAAAAAAATCGAACATGCACGGTGAGTGTACGATCGCACGATCCAGTACGAGTCATCAGTGTGGACTGGTTGCATACGGCGAAGCTGAGATTCAGAAATGGCCTTGAGGCCAGCTTTGGTAAATCGTCTGTTCGGCATCTGCGAGCAGTATTCTATGAGCTTACACCAGACCGCATCGATTACCTCAAGCTGAGAGGATGCGTCGTTCCGGAGCTCTTTGCACCGCTGCCGAAGTCTGAGTACAATAATCCAGCGAAGCATAGGCACCAACGGTTGCCTCCTCTGTCCAAAGTGAATATTTACTCATGCTCAAAACTCCAAACTTTGTCCTTCGATGCACGACTTTTCTTTCGAATGTACAACATGAACGAGCTATTGTGCTATGTACAGTTCTAGCTAATTCTATACACCTCTGATGAGCTTTTTTATTATTCTGAAACTTTTTATTTTTTTCCACCTCTCGCATATGATTCTGGAAGTTGAACTGACGCGAAACATAGATATAAAAAATGATGGCCTAACAAAGAGAAGCTCAAAAATCGACCAATGGTCCGCTGCAGGATCGACTATAGCGTTCAAGAAACCAACCTTCTCTCGAAATTTGATTCAAGCCCGTGCGAGGCAAATTGCAAGGGTTTGATTGAAGACGACTTCTTCCAGGTGGCT